TATCAATCAGAAAAAGTCGATAACAATTTATTAGTTCGTGTCATAGGGATGTGTGTATATTTAAAGTTTAATACGAGGAAACTTCTTCTCTCCATAAATATTTTTGATATGGAGTAGTGCGGTTAGATGCGCTTATCTTCGTTCTACAAAAGACTACAGACACTTGATAATTTCTTTCTTCATTGAGAATTATTTTACCTTTTTTGGATCAGTATCTTTACATGTCTATTCATCTCGTATAGGAGCATGAAATGTCAATGTTATGATCTGTATTAGAAATAGCGGATCATATTGTGTAATACATTTCTTCTCTTTTCTTTTTTTTGTCTTCTCTGATCTCTAACAGCTTTCATAGGTTATATGTATAAAGATACATGCTGTGTTTTGTTATTGTGTATGCATAGTTAGTTATGGGTAGGTATTTTTTTGATCACCAAAAAAGATACAACTGATCACCAAAATGAGTTTGTTGCGAAATGATCACCAAAAAAAGATACATTTGATCACTATTTTTTTTTGTTGCGAAATGATCACCAAAAAAGGATACAATTGATCACCAATTTTTTTTGTTGCGAAATGGTCACCAAAAAAAGGTACAATTGATCACCAAATTTATTATTAATACAATAACAGAAACCATAAGAAATGAGAGTCATACTTATATAAAAATAGACGAGACACAAAAAAGGGTGTGGGTGTGGGTGTGGGATCTTATCTAAGCCCGTACACTCACACCCACACCCTCCGGTACGATGATTTTAATTTCAAAAGAGCATAAAGGATATTTCCTGTATTCACTGCATTTAAATGAATACTTAGTTTGATTGTTTAAGTCTGATCGTCGATGTTGACAAACGTTGAACCTTGATTTTGCGAAATCTTTTGCTTTCATCATATGATTGAGCTATATGTAACAACGTCCAATCTTTACTTGACATTTTTTAAAATTCTTTCTATCATTATGAGGTGACATGCTTTATACGAATATTCTGTTAATGGGATCATTTTGATCAAATGAGATTATTATTTAGCTTAATTTTATCAATAAATTATGTTTGCAGTTAAGCGCATTATTTACCACAAATCTACCATGTATAACTCATCAACACTGTGTAACATTCATTCAGTACTAATGAGTTTGGTGATCAAATGTATGTTCTTTTGGTGATCATTTCGCAACAAAAAAATTTGGTGATCAATTGTATCTTTTTTTGGTGATCATTTCGCAAGAAACTCATTTTGGTGATCAATAGTATCTTTTTTGGTGATCAAAAGTATATTTTCCCGTTAGTTATTGTGTATCTCATATGAAGAAAATAAAGTTAAGATCTAAACATTAAAAAATCAGAAAAAGAAAACAAAGCAGATGAATAATGGGAAGAGAGAAACAAAAATGTGTTAGAGAAGTCCCTAAAACTACATTCGATGTGTCTCTTTATCACAATATTTAATGCATTGAATATTAATAAACAAAATATTGCGTAACATGCTAGCCGTATTTATTAAGTATGATAGTTGTAGTAGACGTAAGAAAAGCTTTTTATCAAAAACTATCTGTTGTAGAATAGTCTCACAGATTGTTTAGTTCTCAATATAAATTTGTGTCTTCACTATTTTCTATCAGTGCATACTGACTTTGTCTGGAGATCCTACACAGATTAATACTACTTCTCTAGTTCAATACTCAATCATTTTATCTTACAATTGTCAAAGTTTTTTCTAATCGATATCATCGTTCTTCACTACAAGTATTTTTGTATTTTAACTCTTACGTCGATACTGAACATCTATCATCGTTCCATAATTGATTTAACTTTATGTCTTTTCATAATGAACAGTTCTTTTCAGACCAACTAAATTAAAGCGAAAAAGATGATTTGATGAAAGAAATAGACGAGAACAAAGTAACTTGTAATACAAATGACATCATTTTTGCGTCAATCATTGCATGTAATCAATCTTTAATCTATAACAAAAAATTTTATGTAAGAAGAATATAAAAGTTATACAAATTCAGTTCGATTTCAAATGAAATTGAAATGTGTTGAAGCAACAGTATCTTGACAAGCCATTTGTGAAATCAAATAGAAATCGTAATTTTCTCTTACATTAAATCATAGAACTAAATTACGAAAAATTTCAGTAAAATATTTTGATTTGTAACAGGATGGCTAATAGTAGTACGCGGTCATGGATTGATGAACTGATGACCACCATGTAGATTACGAGCAAAGAATCGTGCATTTTCATGTTTTTTAAAAAAAATTCTAAAAGAGATCTCACTCATGACCTTATTGTACTTTCATATAAAGTTGAGGGTAAGTATAGATATGAGTGAGATATGAGTCTGACGCTGAGTATGGATGTGGTTCTGATTGTGAGTGTTCGTGTTTAATTGAAACTCCTTCACACTCACATCCTCAACCAGTCTCACATACATCCAGATTCACGCCCTAAACTTCCCTTAAACTAAACATCTTTATTCAGCCTACGTTCGATTGAACGATTCAAAACTTCAGTAAGTCAAATGATTTTCTGCTGACTGAACACATTTTTGAGTTTGTTTCGATATAGCGGAAAGAACGGAGCCGCACGAACATGAAACGTATGTTGATGAAATTCTGAGTTGATAGAAATATTCTATTCCCAATAAAACTGTTAAATGTTTGCTGCAGAGCACTTGAGGGTGGGTGTGGGTGTGGGCGCCATTGACGATGACGAGAAGAACAACATTCACATCCACACTCACACCCTCTCGATTGGACCTTTATTCCTTGTTTGGACAAACAAAATAAATTGTTCAAATATACTGATCAACTATATTATCCGCACGACATGAAAATTGCTGATCTCTTTACAGATACTTTATCCGTTATCAAGTTACCCGATTGAGTAAAAATAATACTGAAATGACTGTTTCAGGAAAAAATTCATCATATTCTACTACTAGTTTTATTATTTTTTTCACAGATGTTTGAATACGTTTCTCCGAATTTAAACAACGATTTTGTTCATTGTTCAATATAAATGATCTTGTCGATGTTATTAAAGTATTGTTTGATGTTGATAATGAACAAATATCGACAGAATTATTTGATTTCTATGTCCATTCAATTGATATTATTCAAAGTTTTCTACTAACTAATATTTGGATATCCGAATCTCGGTCTTCTTATCTTCAATCGATTTTTTCTTGTATGCAGTTTGTAACTGTTGATCGTATTCCTCTATCATATCGTTATCGAGAAAATATCGTAAAAAAAAGCATCTTCATCGCCCATTGTGGATAATTATATTGATGAATCAACAGGAAAGTTCTACATTCAAAAAACTATGAAAAATCCGAGAGTCGTCATATTGATACGACGATGAATTATGTCATTTCAGATGAGTCAGCTCGATTGACACTTGCACAACATATCCGATATCTATTTAAGATTTATCAAGATGAGGACATTGAAGGTCTAAAAAAACATCAAACTGGCTTTCTTAAACAAGCACTATCCATATGAGTTATTCCAAAAGTTATAAAAAAAAGAAACGATTTCGTCGTTTAGCAAAGAAGAAAAAACAGAAAGTCAGGATCCTATTGATATTCCAGCCGAAATAATGGAAAAACTGAAAAGTCAACCTGGTTGNTCATTCTTGAAGTCCCTGCGTAACCAGAACTATCACTCCTTCAGATTAAAAAATTCTGAGAATATCATTAAAATTATCTATTTTAAAATGATAATTAAATAATTTTGCTCAGTTTTAAATACTCTTGGCCATCAAATTCATGGAAGTTGAAACCAAAGTGGGGTTTTATTTGATAGTTAAGAATTAAAATTAATTAATATTCTTCTATTGAAGGAGTGCTTTATAAAAAAAACATAATAGTCCCTAAAATTCTACATTCAACGACGAACGAAAATATCTTAAGTGATTCTTGATTAACGGAAAAATTGGCTAACCACTAAAAACATGCTAAAGTCTTTTCCAGCGAGGAGCATTTTTAAATCTTAAAGACAAAAATACCGATGCTCTCAAAAATATTTGCACCTAAATTTTCCAGACCTCTCTTAGAACTATCGAAGACGCCATATGCATGTCTTCAATAAATTGTCTTAAAGGAATATTCTAAAAAAAGTAAAAACTGTTAAATTTTCTTCATCCTCTTTATTTTTGAATCGGTCCGGTTCGGTTCGACTCGGTTTGAAATTTTGAAAAATTCGATCGGTTCGGTTTTAATAAACACGAATTGAATCCCATCACTGTCGACACACAAACGATATGGTCTTGTTTTCAATTTTAGTCAGAAGGGTGTGAGTGTGCATGTTCTTTTTCTCTTCATGCACACACCCGCTCACAAGGACGAAGTTACTACCTAACATGGACGCTACTAATAAGACATTAAGTCACGACCTAAACAAGCATTCATTATAGGATGTTGTTTCTAGCACTAGTTGTGACTCATTTAAAAAGTTAGTCACGACGATAACCCTCTAAATCAGAAAGATTATTTCAGTACTTCCATGATACATCTTTTACTTTTTATCTCAATCAATTAAATGTGCTGATTTGGACTGATGAAATCCTCGGTAAGTCATGTATGAGAAGCTCACCAAATCTTGTTTAAATTTTCATCTATGGTAATATAATTGTAAATCATTTTTTTATTATTTCAAATCGAAATGAAGGATATGGAAATAATTTTCCGCTCTCCATTGTCTTGATACTTTGTTCCATGAAATGTTCATCATACAGTCGATTTTTGTTACTTTATTGGAGAGAAAATTTTTTCAACTCTTGGATGCTGTTCACAGTCTCTATTAATGAATTAAAACGGTTTCTAGAACAAAGGTAGCGATACTGATCACTAATATTATTCAACATAAAAAAGAATTAATGAATGCATGTCCTTGATTCGAATAGAACATGTTGCGAGGTTTTTATATATGTTAACGAGAACAGAAAAGCTTGTGCAAAACATGTCTTTAACACAGTGCAATAGTTTTTTCTTATTCGTAGGATAGTTCTTTTTCTGCTTCTTTTCCGTAGATATATTGTAAAGCTGTTTTTACTTGTTCTTTATGTTCTTCCCAATGTGAACGACATAAATAAGAACCTTGTGATGGACGTCGAGTAAGAGAAACCGAGCCAACAAGCATTTCCAATTCATTACGATCGTTCTTTTGAGATAAAATTTGTACCAGTGTCGCTGATACTGTACCATTCTCATAATCGGCAAATGTGATATCTTCCGATATAGGATTTTGACGAGTTTTCTGATATAAATTCTTCATTCTTGCTCTGAGATCTTCTGGAAAATTGTTAAATGTCATATCAATGTAATATTCAAAATCACTTTGATCTAAGTTGACTGGGAAAGTT